CCCCCCCCCCCCCCCCCCCCCTTCCCGTCTCAACTCCATTCCCGATTTTCTCCACCTCCTCCCACCAGCAGCGCAGGGGAATGGGGAATGGGGGTTGGGGTCAGTTCATCACACGTTGCCTCTGCCGCTCCTTCCTCCTCAGGGGGAGGACTCCTCACTCGTCCCCTGCTCCAGTGTGGGGTCCTTCTCACAAGAGACAGTCCTCCATGAACTCCTCCGGCATGGGTCCTTCCCATGGGCTGCAGTCCTTCAGGCACAGGCTACTCCTGCGTGGGCTTTGCCATGGAGTCCTGGCCATTTTGGGGGGCATCCCCCTGCTCCGGCATGGGCTCCTCTCTCCCCGGGCTGCAGGTGGGCATCTGCTCCCCCGCTCCCCTCCGTGGGCTGGGGGGCGACAGCCTGCCGCCTCACCACAGGCTGCGGGGGCATCCCCTCCTCCCCTCCTTCCTCACTGACCTCGGTATCTGCAGAGGGGTTCCTCTCACATTCCAATCTCCTCCTCTACTGTAGGTTCCCCTTCTGAAATCTGTTCTCCCAGAGGTGCTACCACCATCCCTGATGGGCCTGGCCTTGGCCAGAGGCGGGTCCGACTTGGAGCTGGGGAAGCTTCTAGCAGCTTCTCACAGGAGCCACCCCTGTAGCCCCTGCCCCGCTACCAAAAACCCCACCACACAAACCCCAAAACAGGCCTGAAGTCCTGGACTTGAATAGCTGTGCTTCTGCAGTGCTCCCCTGGGAATTTACCAGTTCAGGTTGATGATAGATTGAGGATCTCTGCAGAAAGGTCAGATCACTGACCTGGTTTTTTTATTTGTTTGGTGGTGGTTGTTGTTCTAGGTTAGTTTTCATGATATTTAGCGAAAGTTTTGCTTTATTTGACTCATCCCACACTATCTGGATACTTTAGTGTTGACTGTACATGCCAGTAAACAATATAACAAAAATTGCTTAAAGATCACTAGGTTGTCATGAGGAAAGTCAAAGACTTCATTAAAATCTGCACCTATATTTATTCCCAAGGCTTGTCTTTTTATTTCTTCCTGGCTCTGCCAACAGGCAACAGATATTAGAGGGGGGAAAAGATCTGGAGCATGCAATCGTCTTAAATACTTGACAATGTAAGATGGTGGGGGTTTTTATGACATTTTTCTAGTGCTATGCCATGCCTGATTTTGCATTCTACAAGTGATGGACTTTCAGTTTCTTTCATGAGATTTTGCTGTCAGGAACCTATTTAAAATATTATGCCTAGAATCACCTTTCTTAGTTTTCCTCTATTACCCCACGATATGGTGCATATTTCAAATCCACTCATTTAACTTACACCTCCATCTCCACATGCAGATCTGTCAGTGTAGGAAGTCTGTTTTGTCTCGTTTTAGTTACCTTGTAATGAGGCTTTCCCAAGTTAGCTGTCTTAGGTTTCCTCATAAAGTTAGTCAGTCTTTCCCAACTCCAGTTCTTTCTCTAACCCTTCTGTAGTTTGCCAAAAGCTTTCTGGACCCTGAGAGATTCAGAAGTAATCTTACTATAGCAGATGGAATAGAATGATTGTGTACTGGCTCTGTGACCTGTTGGTTAATGTTAAATGGCTCAAAATTCACTGCCGTCTCATATTTATCTACCCAGTTCCTTGGCACTGGTAAGAGAAGGTGGGAGGGTGAAGAATGCCATGCTTTGACTGATGGTTCTGTCACTGCTGATTCCCACTGAACAGCCACTGGATGTCTTTTAAATCAAACACATTGTTCTGCTCTTTCTTCTTAACTCTGTTGTACTGATATCTCCTTAGAGTGCATGGAGTTTAGAAAGAAAAAGAAATATCATGTATTGAGGACATAATGGTCTGGCTAATAAATTCTGAAAAATGTGAGCTAACGTAGGTTTACGGGCAGCCAGCTCCTGTCTGCTGCAAGTGAGATGAATTAGCTGAAGCAATGAGGTGCAGAGTACTTACAAATCGACACACTCCTCAAGTGGGCATGGCTTGATACCTTCTGTGCTCCTCAGCACCCACCCTGTGCTCTTTTCCTTTTTTTTCCATAGATTCCTTCTCTAAAAATAATCCTTACAGCAACAAAAAGAATTTCTGGTCAGTGAAGACCATCTGGGTCTCTGGCTTTGTTGCTTCTGTGCTGTAGCGTAGCAATAGGCTGCTTTAATGTGTTGGGGTTTTTTTCTTTTCTTTCTTTTTTTAGTGCCTTTGATCAAGCCTTTTTCATTATGAGACTCAATTAGGCTAGCACTGACAGATACTTGTTTGGCTTAATATCTGATAACACCATTACTTTTGAGTGCAGGCTATGACCAATTCCTTACCTGGATGCAGTACTCAGAAATAACAATAACTATTCACTTTTTCTTTACTCATTGGAGATGCAACATGTAAGTTACTAATGGACATATACACACTGGAAGGACTCCCGTGAATGCTGCGAAATGAGCAGGTGTCCTCTGCTAATATAAATCATCTCTTTGAACTAGGGAAATTACTGAGTTTGTATCTAGTGATCAGTCTTTGGTTAGATTCAGCATTGTGCTCTTTTAAGTGCCTCTGTGTTTTAAGACAGATATGCATCTCTTGGCCTCCTAAAATTTCTAGAAAAGATGGGTTTTTTTGCCAGCATTTCATAGGCTCTATGTGAAGAAATAAATTAGACCTAATCAGGTAAATTATATAGTGCTACAGAAAGCCTAATCTTCATAGTCCTTTTAAGTCTTTAGTAGTTTAATTTGCTGAATGTGAGCAATGTCCTTTATTCCTTGGGAATATATTGAGCACCAAGACAATATTTTATATCTAAATAATAAATGTACCCATTCATTCTGTGACAGTCTATAGAAATGGAGTTAGAAGGCTTAATCTTGCTGAAGGCTGAGCACCCTCTGCTTTTCAGTAAAGTCTTGCAGAGCCAAAAGTCTGAAAGAACACTTGAATATAAACTACGGAGGTATTCCCAATTGTCCTGGCTACTGTATGAATAAAATAATTGTGGTATATGGGATTAACTACTAGTTTAGAGAACAGAATGGAGGTGAAAGTTGTTTCTTCATTGTGAATTTTTGTTTTACTCAGATTTTTGTTTGCTTATTTGCATTTAAAACAAATGCCTCTTAAGTACTAATACGCATTAAAATTCAGAATTAAAAAGAGCTTTAAATTCATTTTTTTAACCTTTTAAAATTTATTTTAATTAAGAACAAAAAGCAGAGAAATCCTTTTTTTCCTAGAGCTTCATTCTGAAGTAATCGGAGGATTAAAAAGAACCCATTATCCAAATGTTGTTACTGAACATGAAACTACTTGAATATTCAATGTCATTCTTGCTGCAGTTGCAAATTTTGAAAGCTAAATGAAGATATTTTATATGTGCATGGCTTTACAGTCAATGTAGAGTTGTACAGCCCTAGGATTAAAATGCATTTATACCAAGATCAGGAAATTAAAAAAAAATGTTTCCCACACACCGTACTGTTGTATGCACATGACTTTTTTCATCTATGTAATTTTTTTTATTGTTATGCAGCCAAAAAAGCAATAAAGTGATTGCTGTAAGTCAGTTACAAATGGTATAATTGCTAATACTTCCAGTTTTCTGAGTTCTGTGTGTAAAATTATCAAAACGCTTTTTTATCATTCATATAACTTTCTGAGGTTGATTTTCAAGAGAGAAGAGAAAATCTAGAAGTACCAATGTGTGTGTTTTGAAACCTGCCTCTCCAATTGGAAGTCCATAGCATCCAGAAAAGTTCCCCATAACTATTAGGTATTTTATGTTTTGGCTGTGTATGTATGCTTTTTTTGTAACTTACTGTTTCAGTTTCTGTAGCCACATTTAATGCTTCACAAGTAATCAAAGAAAATCCAATCCTTGAGGCTACAGAAAATGCTTTAATTTGAAAAACTCTCAGTATAAATCATGTAATTTCATTTTGTAAGTTCCTTTTATGAAACAAACCCCCAAAAGCCTGAACATCAAGCCGGGGTGTTAACAGTTATCATCACCCACACAACCTTTGCTGTGCCTCTTATTTTCAAAACTGGACCTGCCTGGTTATTAATGATCCTGTGAAGCTGATTAGCATTTCCTTAAATGAAGGGAAAGATGGGCTTAGGGTTAGGGCATTAGCCCACAGAATTTGCAGTTCAATTCTCTTTCGAGTTTTTATGGTTCATGTTTTCCAAGACACTTTTTTTTTTCCTGCTGCCTAATGGCTAGGAAAAAATTCTTTAGTGAAACAAAGCTTGTGTAAATGATTACAAGAACTAAGAATCCAAATATAATGAGGGCCATGACAACACCCCTGCTTTTGGCAGCACAGAAGACCTTGCCCTCTTCTGGCTCCGCTGCTCTGAGATGCCAGGGGTTTCCTTGCTCTGCGCAGTGGTACTTGCAGAGGTGCTGAGCTGGGGAGGAGGGAGAGTTACCCAGTGGCACCTTTCTCATACACTTCACATCCACATGAAGTTAAACTCTTGTCTGCTGGGTGCAGAGTACTCCATGTGTGTTGGTATATAGCATACCTTAGTAATGTACAACTCTGTGTATATATATTTATATTTCTGTGTATTAATATCTATTTTTAACTTTCATATTTAAACATATACAGAAAGAGTAGCTTTGTATTTTAAATGGGTTCTGATGAAAAAAAGTACTTGCCTAGCTGATCCATAAAATACTAAGTAAAAATTAAAGACTTAGCTTTTCCTGTGGGGAGCAATTAGTCATTTCCTGGTGCAAAGAATAACAAAATTACTGACTTCTCCGTGGTCTTGGCTCATTTTTGTTCGATGCCAGGTGGTTGCTACAGTTTGACAAATGATTGATTTGGTTTCAAAGGGTGCTTGAATTACACAAAGCGTTTTTCGTATTAGAAAAGACATGGTCATTTTTTTCCACAAGTTTTAAGATTTATCGCCTTGCACAAGTGTTGTAAATTAGTTTTTGCTATTTATTTTCTCTGGATTGCTGTAATTGGTGTCATTAGTTGAAGGGCAAGTTTTACAGATGGTTGGAGGGATGGCCTTTTATGCATACACCCTTCATATTTTATTTTTTAAACACTGCTACAGGACTGCAAGTCAGATGGGTAGACTGCTACTTCCCGTTTACTCACCCTTCCTTTGAGATGGAGATCAACTTCCAAGGAGAATGGATGGAGGTCTTGGGCTGCGGGGTCATGGAGCAACAGCTAGTTAACTCAGGTACTGAAACTCCTTTACTTCATTGACATCTCTATTAGCAAACACTTCAGGCACAATCAGCTTCACAGTCTGAAATGCCCCCTTCTCCCCTGGTGAGCGCAGACATCTCTGTTTGAGGCAGCCGCCACAAATAGTCTTCAGGTGGAATGCAGCCCTTGAATGCTATGATTTGAGGGTAGCAACTGAGCGAGCGATCTGGAGCCTGCAAACGGAAAGCTTGCCTTTTATTTTGTGCAGTAAGGAGACAGACAGATGTCAGCTTGAAAAGAGAAGCTAACAAATTAGGGTGTATGTTTTTTTTCTCTTCCAAGAGATGTCAAGTACATTCATAGTTACGATTTAAAAGCAAACAGCAAAATAAGCAAATAGTGTCCCCTAATATTAGGAATATCAGAGTGCTTCTGTATCTCTAAAGTATAGAAAGAGGAATGTGATATCTTTCATATTGCTACTTGGTCAAGGGGTAAATGATAGGTTCCTTTTTGCTTTTGTTTTGTTTCTTTTCTCCTCAGGTTGATTATTTATGAGGTTGTAAACTACGTTAACAGCAACATCATTTATTTTAATTGAAACTATTATAGAGTAATGTCACTTGATGATTTTGCTTTCTAAAACTTACACATAAGTACAAAAGGAAAGGAGAAATTGGTGGGGTTTTTCTGATTATTTTTATATAGAGAATTTTACGTGCTTGCTTTTTCATGAGTGGAGAATAGGCAATTCTTTGTAAGCACAGGGCAGACTGCATGTGCTCAGACCTCTGTCATTCAGTGTCTTCCAGTACTATTTATTAGGTATTGGGAGCCTTTTGGAATATGATCCATTTAATTCTTGCAAGTGTGCTTTCAGATAGCCAAATATATTCATTTGACTTTTTTTTTCAGTTGGTTTCCTAAGCTATTGTTTTATTTTCATGGGCTCTAAATTCTTGTTGAAGTCCAAGTACGATAGCTATGAATGGCTCAGTTTTGGCCCCAGTTATTTGGCACAGCTTATTTTCCTCAGTTTGCATGTATTTTAACGTGATCATTTTCCTTTTAAAAATATATCCTCTTCCAGAGTTTCTGCCCAATGGGTTAATGGTTTATACTAACATTCTTTCTCAGGTTATTGTGTTCATGGTGTGGTAAATATAATACAGCTTCTGATCAGCCTCAAAAGTGAAAGACTACTGTGTAATATTATTTTCATCAGATGTAACACACCAATGGCCAGGCTTTCTTCTTGAAAAGCTTTTATGTTGCTCGGTTCTTATGTTTAGGTTCTTTTAATGTGTGTTAGAAGAGCTAAACTGTGGCCTCAGAACAATTACTGTATGCATTTGTGTCTGTGTGTATGTGAATGAATGTACATGAAACACCAATGGTTTCTACAGCGGTCAAAGTTTTCCGTTTACTCTGCCTCAGCTCTTTTTCACCTTTCTGAATTATGGTCTTCAAAATTATATCCTTTCTGTACCAAAACTCTACTAACTATTCATTAAAATTGTAATCTTGAAAGAACTTGTGAATTTAGTAACTCAAGTCTAGCTTTTGAATACTTGTAGACTTGTATTATTAAAACAAGCAAACAAAAAAGAGATTCTTTCACTTTATTAGCAAGATATTTTTAGAGGGTGCAAACTCAGTTGTGGAAGTGCCAGTCATTTTTCACTTCATTTAGAGAGAATTGAGCTTTATGTAGCCACAGTTTTGTTTTTCCGCTCCCTCCGGTAGCTCTGCAAAAACACTTGGCTACAAAAGCTGAGTCTAATGTATCTCAATGTGATTTTATTGAAGCATTGGAATCTGTTTACCACAAGTGAGGAAAAAGTGTAGCTAATAATGCTGGCTGATGATTAGCTTATTTGGTTTAATGTAACAATGAGGACAAAGTAGTTCATGTTTTCACTCAGGTAAGGAGTCAAACACCAGTCTTCCCTGTTTACTGCTGCTCTGAGTATTCTCTTCTTTAATCCTCTTTTGCAACAGTTTAAAACCCCAGTAGGTTCCTGGCATGCCAACTTGCATCTATTTATGGTGAAGCCAGGTTTGCTATTATTAACCCACAGATTTTTTTGAGTGTGTTATGGCAGCAAGCTGCTTTTGCCCAAAATTGAAAGTCCACAAGTCCAGAAAGTAGATTCTCTGTGGAGATGGGTGAAGGTGAAAATCTTCTTTCCTAGCTCGTTCATCCTTTTTTGTTAGCAGAACTCAACTGCCTTCCAAAGCCATCCCACATTTAAACAGTGGCAGTTTTTTAATAGTTTATTTTTTTTACCTTTTGAATATCCTTAATGCCTCCAGTATCCATGATCAACGGATATTACTCTGGTCCCATGTCCCTAAATTTCTTTGAAACATCAAAGTTTCAATTTTAAAGCCTTCCATTTTAAACCAGTGCTGATCAGCAGATCAGGAATAGGATCTTTGTCATACTTGGGAAGGAGGCCTGTGACTTCCCAATAGCTCTGTCTTTGTGCATCTTTATAGGGGGCAGGGTTATTTTCAGTGGAGATTTCGTGGCAAAAGAAATTGAGGTGAACTACCCAGAAAAACACTAGGTTGTGGTTTGGGGTTTGTTTTGTTTTGTTTTTTGTTGTTATCCCCACCATTTGTTTACTGGTAAAGAAATTCCTTAACTACAGGTAAGTATCCCATTGCCCAACATGAAAGCATGCATCTAACCTCAGAGCACTGACTCACGCCACAGACCTACTCCCTCTGATGAGAGAGTAAACACTGGTGCCTAAACCTAGATGCTCTGTCTCTTTGTCAGATGTCTAGAATAGGCACTGCAAACTTCCTATTCCTGTCTCAATCTCTTCAAGGGCTCTACCAGAAAACAATGCAGTAGGACTGAATGAAAAAAAGATATGTTACTCTTTTTTTTTTGGCTGGCTAAGATGGTGCTGAAGAAATATTTCACTCTTGGTGTGCCAGTTCACCAGGCAAATGCAGACAGACCTTTTCATGGTGTACTGCACAGCTTGCTGATTAAAAACTGGAGAAGAAACTGATAAGTTTGCAGATTATTTTTCTTTAATATGGTCTATAACATTTCTAGTATCTTGCAGTTTGGGATTTTTGTTTTATGGGTATTTTTCGCTTGATATTGACTATTAAAATATTTATTTCTGAAAGGTAATATTTGCTGGCAGGCATTGCTTTTTCTTCCACAAGACTATATTTTCCTAAGGGAAAGGAAGAGAGCTTTTACCTTCAAAATCCTCAAGTCCTTTTGTTTTGTGTGTTACTATTTGAATACAAAAGACTGGTTTGTGAGGCAGTTGGAAACAGTCACTCAAAACAGAAGATGGATATGCCTGGTTATCTATGGTGGTTATAATTTAAACAGTCAGCATGCTTCAGGACAGGTTTTTTTTCTTTTCATTTTTGTTTTGTTGATAATATATTCATATATGAATATATATGAAACAACAAAAATGCAGAAGGACCGAAGAAGCCTTGTGGAGGGATGAAAAGACAAGGTCCATGCTGTGAAGGGGCCAAGGTATTAGCCCTAAGTAGCTGTTTCTTTATTGAGATTTTTTTAGTCTTGAGTGAAGAATTCTATTGTAGCTTTAACATGCTGTGCAATCAGCATTAAATTTATTGTTATTTTCTGAAAGACAATATCCTATTGAATTTTTCTGATGCCTTCTTACCTTTTGGAAGGAGCTGTTCTTTGATTTCAACCACTTTTAAATAGAACGTTGTCGTGGTTTAACCCCAGCCAGCAGCTAAGCACCACGCAGCCGCTCACTCACTCCCCCCCATCCAGTGGGATGGGGGAGAAAATCGGGAAAAGAAGTAAAACTCGTGGGTTGAGATAAGAACGGTTTAATAGAACAGAAAAGAAGAAACTAATAATGATAATGATAACACTAATGAAATGACAACAGTAGTAATAAAAGGATTGGAATGTACAAATGATGCGCAGGGCAATTGCTCACCACCTGCCGACCAACACCCAGCCAGTCCCCAAGCGGCGAATCCCTGCCCCCCCACTTCCCAGTTCCTAAACTAGATGGGACGTCCCATGGTATGGAATACACCGTTGGCCAGTTTGGGTCAGGTGCCCTGGCTGGGCATGAGAAGCTGAAAAATCCTTGACTATAGTCTAAACACTACTGAGCAACAACTGAAAACATCAGTGTTATCAACATTCTTTGCATACTGAACTCAAAACACAGCACTGTACCAGCTACTAGGAAGACAGTTAACTCTATCCCAGCTGAAACCAGGACAAACGTGATACAGCTATTTAGTATATGTAAATAGAAATGCATTGTTTATAGGGAAAAAGTATCAAATATGCTCAAATGTATTGATAGGTACTCTTATCACCTACTTTCCTTCTCTGTTCTTTTTTCCTTGTGAGGTCTGTGAAGAGTCTCTGTGGTCCTCTTCTGGTTTTGTTTTGGTTTTTTTGTTTGGATCCCCCCCGCCCTGCATGCTTCTTAACAAACTAGATTTCTAGTTTCTGACATAGATCTCCAGCGCACAGGTGTGATAACCCAAATATGAGAGGCAACAGAAAAAAACAGCACTTTTTGTTACAACTTTATTGTGTGTGGACTTCCATAGTGCTTTATCTCACCCTTGAAATTTCACATTCTTAAAATGTTAAACCAGATTAGCATTTGCCCAGGGAGGGACAGACAGCCTCATTCTTGGTCATTCACTGAGTAGTGGTAATGGTCCAGTCTTCTGAACAATTCAGATTTTCTGTGTTAACAGCAACAAAGGTTTCTGCTGTCTTGGTGTGTGGATGAGCAGATAAAATTTGATAAAGGATGGTAAGTACCACTTCCATTAAAGCCAATCCAGCTATTATTTTTTAAGAGTTATTTGCATTCAGGGAAGTCTCCTACTACTAACAAAATGGAGAATATGGTGTTAATTACTATTTTCTAACAGTGATAGTTGCTATTTTTAAAAGAAAAAATATACCCTATGACTGTTTTTATATAATTGTTGAAAAAATATGCACTACTGCAAAGATGCACAGAATTGTAA